ACTCTCTCTCTCTCTCTCTCTCTCTCTAAACCTTAGCTCCGCTGGTTGGAAAGAAACCCCAAGCCCCATTTGAAGTCAGAGACAAAGATCCTTTCGCTTAACCATAGCTCTCCTCTATCTAAACCATAGCTCTGCCAAAGGTTCTATTTTTCTCCTCTTTAAACCATAGTTCTCTTTTTCTATTCTCTCTCTAAACCATACCTCCGCCAAAAGGTTCTCTCTCTAAACCATATCTCCGTCCATGGTGGAATCTTCTTTCCAGGCAAAGCTCTATCCATCTAAGGTTACATTTTGAATGGGTAGGGGTGCGGTTCGTTGTTATGGGTCCAGATACGGATACTAGGTGTAGTCTTTGGATATCCAGATCTAGGTGGATCCAGACCTGATCCGACAAAGAAGTTTAAATAAGCAAGGGCATTCACGTCTTTGGACTTGGATGACCCAAGTGGGACCTAATTATGAAAACGTCCCTTTGTTCCAGGTATCAAATTTAGAATAAGATTTTTTAAATGAAAGAACATGTCATTAGTTTGGTACCTAAAACAAGCAAAGATATTTAATCACATAAAACAAGCAGAAGTATTTAAGTTATTTGGTTCAAGTGACTTAATTGGTTTAATTACATAAAACAATAAAAAATATTTAAGTTATGAAAAAGTAAATAAAGAGACCATTTACCTTTGATACAAGGTGGTCACAGCTAATCGTGGCCATTGGATGTGAAATTGAGTAGTTGTATTTATTTCATTGACTAAGCTCAAAGTTTAAAATAAAATTTTTTGAACTTTGTAACACACCCAAGCTATCAAATTTTACATCAAATGTTTGTAAGTAATTGTGACCTCCCTATAGTAAAGGTAAATGGTCTCATTGTATATAATCCCTTAAATTATTTGACTCAAGTGACTACATGAATTAAATCATTGAAATATCTTTATTAAGTAATGCTGCAAACCTCCAAAAACACAATTTGTGCAATTTTTAAACAAAAATCTAGATAAAATACTTAGTGAAAAATAAATTTGAAGAGTACCACTTTGTTGGTAAATATTTTATTTATGGGAAACTATCGCTAATATACTTTTATTTTAACAAAATTGAAAAAAAAAACTCAAACTATTCAAAACCTCGCCTACACCCTTTTTCCTAATTTTCACGATTTTTTGGATGAAAATGCTCATTACGGTAGTCTTTTTACCGTAATGAGCATTACGGTCTTAAACTTCTTTACAGTCTGAAATTCTAGTGAACTTTGGACCATTACGGTCATAAAAAGACCATAATGCTCCAAAGACCATAATGGTTCAAAGTTTGCTGGAATTCTAGTGTATTCTTAGTACCGTAATGCTCATTACGGTACCCTTAGTACTGTAAAGTTCTTTAAGACCATTATAGTCATAAAAAGGTCGTAATGGTCCAAAGTCTACTGGAATTCCAGTGAACTTTGGGCCATTACGGTCTCTTTATGACTGTAAATAAATTTAAGAGCATTACGGTACTAAGAGTACCGTAATGAGAGAACCCCAATAAATTTCCAGCTAATTGTGGAAATTTGGCCAGACTTTGCTGGTTATAAGGTTTTTTGGCCCGATTTTGCTAGTTATAGGGTTTTTTGGCCGGATTTTGAAGGGACTTGAACCGGATTTATTTGAGGTCTGGTTCGTTTGTGCTGGAATTTGGAAACATTTGGTTGGAATTTGAAGCCGGTTTTGCTGAAAAATGTTTTTTTTTTTTTTGTTGGATTTGAGGCGAAAATGGGATGCATTTCATTCGCAGGGAAGAGAGTTTTGTACTCTTCGATTTTTATTCTTGCTGCTTGGCAAAGGTTCAATTACTTCGATGATGAGTGGACCTGCTGTAAAGGTATTGGAACCCAAATATGCGCTCTTAAAAAATCATGTGACATCTTCTCTTGGGCTTCAAGTGCCAGAAATTGAGATTAAGCATTTGGTTGCAGCAGCAGCAGAAACTGCTTTGAAGGGAATTGTGTTGAATATGTGTACCCAGTGTTGCCGCAAGGGGAGGAGGTACAGAAAGTGTCGTGCAGAAGACTCGAAAAGAGTCATTCGCTCTCTTGCAGCTCAATCTCTCAAATCTCAACACAAGCATTACGGTACTAAGAATACCTTAATAAGTGTTAGGTACTCAAAGTACCGTAATTTTGTTTGCCACCAAAAAAAAGTGTTGGTGAGGTTTTGGGAAGGTTGAGATTTTTTTTTTCAATTTTGTTAAATTTAAAGTATGTTAGCGATAATTTCCATTTATTTAACCAGCTTATTATTTTTATTTTTTTAATTTGACTATTTTATATTGTTTCCATTTATGGTTGATTGTGC